CTCGCTGCCAAGAAAATTCACTCCTTGGAAGATGGCGACAAACGCATTGAAATCTCCCTATGTTTACCCTCGTTACCGTTTCTTGATCTATATCCTGCGTGTTCTCTTTTAAGTATAGTTCAGGGTAGTTAACAGTGTGGTTTATGTAATTTGACCTATAGCCACTTCGACTGGTATATATATATTAAGCATTTTGAGGTCAATGTATATTAATTGAGATGTAATTTTGTAAGAGGTTTTGTTTTAACGTCACTAGGTTTTGGTTTTGGTTTTTGTCAGTATTTTGGTCTTTTGTTTGGTTAATTTATCATATAAGTTGGACAAACAAACACATTACCACGATTATATTATTTTAAAAGGATGTGAAATGCGGTTGGTTCATCCCGTAGGCTTCAGCTAACTTACTTTATAAAAATCTCTCTCTCTCTCTCTCTCTCTCTCTCTCTCTCTCTCTCTCTCTCTCTCTCTCTCTCTCTGGTGATGACTTAAGTTTTAATGGGCCATCAACACCATTTCCCCGGCGGCTCACAAACTGGAGTTGATGAGACCCAGTTTTTCCCCCGGATTGTGTGTCGTATCGCTGTTATTAAATCGGCCAAGATGACTAAGGGGGGAAGGGGGGTGGTGTTTAGGGGGTGACTAGGGAAAGTTTTCACGTCTTTGCCCCTGAGATCAAAGAAGCTCTCTTGTTAGTGTGTAATGAAAGGTGTGTTGATGGGGTGAGTGTGTGTGTGTTGCTGGGGTGTGTGGGTGTGTGTTGCTGGGGTGTGTGTGTGTGTTGCTGGGGTGTGTGGGTGTGTGTTGCTGGGGTGTGTGTGTGTGGGTGTTGCTGGGGTGTGTGGTGTGTTGCTGGGGTGTGTGTGTGTGTGTGTTGCTGGGGGTGTGTGTGTGTGTTGTTGGTGTGTGTGTGTGTGTGTGTGTTGTTGGGTGTGTGGGTGTGTTGCTGGTGTGTGTGTGTGTGTTGCTGGGTGTATGTGGGTGTGTTACTGGGGTGTGTGGGTGTTGCAGGTTTGTGTTGGGGGTGTATGGGTGTATTGCTGGGGATATTAAGATTGTGTTGTAAAGGCATAAAGAAAATGCGTCAAATGAATGTGTTGCAGGAACCAATATATGTTGCAGGAGTTTGGGGGTGTTTGTTGCATGGTATGTTTAACTATGTTGCAAGGGCGTGGGAGTCGTATGCCCACCACGCCATGTTGTTGCTGTCACTCTGGACCACAGCCAATACTGCCTTGCCGCTACCTTGTGTTGTATCAGGAGGACACGCCTCTCCCTCCACCCATCACCACCATTCATCACCACCCATTACCACCCAACACCCATCACCACCACCCAACACCCATCACCAACACCCTTCACCTACCCACACTACCACCCATCCCCACCCAACACCCATCACCATCACCTACCTACATTACCACCATCACCTACCACACCCATCACAACACCCATCACCTACCACACCACCACCCATCACCACCACCCATCACCTACCAACACCACCACCCATCACCACCACCCATGACCACCCATCACCAACACCCATCACCTACCAACACCACCACCCATCACCACCACCCATCACCAACACCCATCACCTACCTACACTACCACCCACACCACCCATCACTCACCTCCTGGGCTGATCTCCACAAGGGTGTATGTAAACAAACTGCGACAAACGCTTACATAAACCATAATAAAAGGGAGAAGAGATAACGTATGGGAGGAAGCGACGTTGATAAAGTTGATTATGAAGAGAGAGAGAGGGGGGGGGAATGTTGCTTTAACTTGCTATATTCTCCTCTTTTCTTTTCTTCTCTTCTCCCTTCTGCTCCTCCTCTTACATCTCCTCCTTGTCTTCCTTCGTGTCTTCCCCCCACCCTTCATTACCACCAGCGGTAATAACAACAGTAACAGCTGCTCCTCGGCTATTAACAGTGACAATATCAACAGCAGCAGCGATAACACTGCAGACGATGACAGCAGCAGCAGTCACAGCACATCAATACACACCCCATGACCAACAGTTAACAGGAACAGCATAATACAGGCAACAGCGTCAACAACAACAACAACCATCACCAACAATAACCACCATTATCATTAACTACAACCAACAACAACAACCACCACCACCAACAATAACCACCATTATCATTAACTACAACCAAACAACAACAACCACCACCAACAATAACCACCATTATCATTAACTAAAACCAACAACAACAACCACCACCACCAACAATAACCACCATCATCATTAACTACAACCAACAACAACAACCACCACCACCAACAACAACCACCATTATCATTAACTACAACCAACAACAACAACCACCACCAACAATAACCACCATTATCATTAACTACAACCAACAACAACAACCACCACCAACAACAACAACAACCACCACCACCACCAACAACAATGCCACACAACAACAACCGACCACCACCACCAACAACAACAACACAACAACAACAACACAAC